ACTATGTGAATCTTGCTTGGTGGGCAAGCAAACAAGAAAGTCATTCTCGACTATGACGACATACAAAGCAAAACGACCATTGGAACTACTTCACGGTGATTTATGCGGTCCGATCACACCGGCAACTAAGGGTCAAAATCGATATGTCTTCACACTAGTTGATGACTTTTCACGATTTATGTGGATTTATCTCATAAAAGAAAAGAGTGAGGCGTTTACACACTTCAAAAAATTCAAAGCTTTGGCGGAGAATGAAATTGGAAAGCCTTTGAAAGTATTTAGAAGTGATCGAGGAAGTGAGTTTACTTCTCTTAAGTTTAATTCTTTTTGTGATCAAAACGGAGTCAAACGCCACCTTACCACCCCATATTCACCGCAACAAAACGGATTTATGGAACGAAGAAACCGAACACTTATGGACATGACACGAAGCATAATGAAGGCAATGCATGTTCCAACTTATGAGGAGAAGCGGTAAATCACTCTACAAATCTAATTAATCGCATTTACATACGATTCCTTGGCGATACAACTCCATACGAAAAGTTGTATAAAAGAAAATCAAATTTAGAAAATGTTCGTATTTTTGGGTGTCTAGCACATGCAAAAGTTGAACCGGTAAATCTCAAGAAGTTTGATGCAAGATCAAGACCACTAATACATCTTGGTTCCGAACCGGGTACGAAAGCCTATAACTATTTAACCCGAAAACACTAAAAATAATCGTGAGTCGAGATGTTATTTTTGCTGAAACCAAATGGTGGGATTGGGTTAAAGAAGAAATAACTGACAATGAAGAACCAAGCACATTCATAGTACCATGGGACTACTCGGAAGACGAGGCGAACAACAATCAAGGAAACGATGTAAACAATGATCCAATTGAACCGATTAAATCGGGTCATGAGTTTGAAGACAGAACGGAAGTACAAGATAATGAACAACCAATTACGGTCAACAATAATGTTCAACAAGGAGTTGCAAACCAAAGGCCCTCGAGAACAAGAGTACCTCCAAAACGATTTGAAGATTATGAGCTTGATCTTGATAATCTCGTAGAACTTCTCCTAACAACCAATGAAGAGCCGATATCGGTTGAAGAGGCGAAGAAAAAACCGGAGTGGGTCAAAGCCATGTATGCAGAAATCAATTCGATAAACAAGAATAATACTTGGACTCTCGTGAACAAGCTTATAGGGGTGAAGCCAATCAGACTCAAATGGGTGTTCGAATTGAAGAAAAACTTAGATGACACCATTAATAAATACAAGGCAAGGTTGGTTGCTAAAGGTTACGTGTAACAACCCGATATTGATTTTCTAGAAGTATTTGCACCGGTAGCTCAAATCAAAACTATCCGTTTTCTCATAGCCATAACCGCTACTAATGGGTGAGAGCTACATCACTTAGATGTTAAAACGGCGTTCTCACATGGATAACTAAAAGAAACCGTTTACGTGTCACAACCGGAACGTTATATAAAGAAAGGAAATGAGCATAAAGTGTATCGTCTTACAAAAGCACTATATGGTCTAAGACAAGCACATCGAGCATAAAACACAAAGCTTGACGGGATTTTGAAGAGTATGAAATTTCAAAAGTGCATGAAAGAACCATCGGTGTACCGGAAATATGAAGGAGCTAACTTGTTAATTTCAACAATTTATGTTGATGACTTATTTGTCACAGGTACAAGTTTGAGCATGATTAAAAGATTCAAGATAGGGATATCAAAGAATTTCGAGATGTCGGATCTTGGAAGATTAACTTACTACCTTGGCATTGAAGTTAAACGAAGAAATGGGGATTACTATAAACCAAGAAGCGTATGCACAACGCATTCTAAAAGAAGTCGGTTTACATGATTGCAATCCGACCCACATTCCAATGGAACCGGAAAATAAATTGTCGAAGGCCGAAGATGAACCCGAAATCGACCCGACATAATATCGAAAAGTGGTAGGATGCCTTAGATATCTCTTGCAAACAAGACCCGATATGGCATACACAATTGGAGTTGTTAGCCGATACATGCAAAGTCCAAAAGAATCACATGGTGGTGCAATCAAACATATCCTAAGGTACTTACGAGGAACAACGGGATACAAAATCAAGTAAGAGAGAAGGAGACAAAACCGACTCATTGGTTATAGTAATAGTAGTCACAATGTTGACCCGGATGACATAAAAAGTACAACTGGTCAGATTTTCTACTATGGGTCATCTCCGATAACATGGTGTTAGCAAAAGTAAGATACCGTTGCTTTATCATCTTGCGAGGCGGAGTTCATCGCGGCCACCGCAACCGCATGTCAAACAATATGGCTTCAAGATTTGTTAGGAGAAATCATGAACAAAGCGCAAGAGAAGGTGGTTCTAAGAGTTGATAACAAGTCGGCTATCGAACTAACGAAGAATACTGCTTTTTCATGGAAGGAGTAAACACATTCACACGAGGTTTTACTTCATTGGTAATTGTGTTGAAAACGAACAAGTAGGCGTGGAATACATTCCCAGTGAAGAACAAAAGATGGATATTCTTACTAAACCACTAGCCCGAACCAAGTTCAAGGAAATGCGGAACTTGATCGGGATTAAAGACATTTCTAGAAGAACTTAAATATTCGGGGGTGATTGTTGGAATCCTAAGTCGTGGATTCCAAAAATCTTAGAGAGTAAGCAACCTGGTATTTGGCAAGTTTGGTCCTTGCTAGTTTCCTAATCTAAATTGTACAAGTCGGTTCAATTTATCTATATAAACAATCTAGCCGTGTTAGGGTAAAATAGATTGAAAACACAAAGGTTTTGAGTTATGTTCCTATTAATCAAAGAGCTTGTTGTGTTTTCGCAATTCATGTCTTCAATCTTTAATAGTTGTCTTGAATGCATCTCATTTGGGAAAAACCATAGGGACCTATAATGTAATTTTGATATTTTGTCTATTATTTGGGAAGGGGTGAGGGTGGGGGCCTGTAGGTGTGGGTTGGGGGTGGGGGACTGAGGAGTATGTCAGCTTCATTAACTGTAATTGACACATACACATGCTTACCATTCACGTTCTTTCAAACTTCAAACCTCACAATCACATGACATGATCTGATCTCCACGGGACCCGCATGCATGCTGGGATCCAAATAATTACTTACTTGTTTTAAGCATTTAATTCCTTTTAATATTTAACTATTGCCTTAATTAAATTATAAAATTCCTTTTCTAAATCAAAGAAGAAAAGGTTATAAATTACAAAATGTAATCTTAACAATAAATCTTTCTAAATACATTGGTCGTTTATTGCTAAACTAGTTGACAACAAATAATTGGTAGCTAGAAACTTAAAATTTAACTTTTATTTGTATAGAAGTATTCCATAAAATAGTTGTTAGCAGTTAAAGATATAAAATTATATAAAAACAAAATATAAAAGCTACCATTGTATAATAGATTTTTTTTTCTTAAATGTTGAAAACAAAAAGCTCACAAAAACTTTTCAAAAGCTCCATGGCAAACACGTTATTAAGTTTTTCGAGCAATGACTATGCAAGATAATTTTTTTATATATAAATTCTGTCAAAAGTTCTGTAGCTTTTAACGTAAAAGTATAAGCAAACAATATATGCTAATGTAAAAAGTATCAATGATAGATTATTAATTTATTATATAAAAACAAAATGTTAAATCACATAATAAAATAAGGGAAAATAGCAAACAAAAATGGATGTTAAGCAACCACAGACTATTAGTATATTCGGCATAAAATACCTTTTTATACATCCTAGAAAAAGTACCAACGCTTTGACAGATATAAATATGGGTTCTTTCAAATATATGAATACTTCCAAACAATAATAAAATTAAATAATTTTATGGATCCTAAAAATACCATCGTGTTTTTATAGTCCATAACTAGAAAAAAAAACCTTTGAAAAACGAAATATAATTGATATAACTTTTGGGTGTTTACATAACACTTTTTAGTTATATATAACAGTTTATGATTTATACAGTGTACAACTGTTTAATACATATTATTGTTATGTATAACTAAAAAAATATTATGCATAAATCACTTAAGAGTATATGTCATTTTATTGTAAATTTTTATTGCTATGTAGTAAAAAATCGTAATTAAATATCTTATTTTATTTAATTGACTTTTAGAAGAAAAAATGATTGTAAATAAATGAAAGTTGTTGAAGAAGCTTGAAGCAACAAAAGATTTGTTAAAAATGGTGATTTATTATAATTGATCATGCATTGGGTAAATATACAATACAACTACATAATGCACTTGAAAAACCATTATGAAAATTGATTGTAATGAAGGTGAGAAGTGAAAGCAACACCATTGTATTTGTGGAGTCCATTTATTGAAAATAATATCGCTTCCCCTGTCACAATTTATCAAACAAGTCGTACAAAACATTATTACATTTCATAATTTTACATTTAATTTGATTTATATGTTTTCGTATATTAAATAAAAAAGAAACTACAAAAAATAATTATATTTTGGCATTTTTATGGTTTAATAATTATGAATCAAAATGCTCAACTAAAACCAACCGAATTTAACAATTTTTTTTTATGTCGGCCACTGTGAACTGATTTAACATTTTGATCAAAATAGAAATTTTTGTTGAAGTCGAATGGTTTTAGTATATAGAATATTTTTTATTTATAGCGAACAATTTGACAACATTTTCTACTCCACTAAATTCGATTAATTTTAACAAATTATTCCATTATAAGCAATTTAACCTGTTATTATAACAGTCACAACGGTCAACATAGAAAAAATTACAAACTTTGATGGTTTTAATAAGACCATATGATTCTCAGTGTTTGAATAGCAAAAACAGCCACAATATTATTGTTTTTCTATATACCGGCCTTAATTAAATATATAAATATATTATTACAATGTTTATAATAACTTTTCATTCATATTTCTCATGAAATAATTACAATGGAATGTGCAAAATATGGTCCTAATGACTAATGAGCACAAATATTTGGAAAAAGAAAAAGAGAGAAGGAATTCCTATTTCCTTAAAAATGTAAATTTTATTGTTAATAAATATTTTTGATAAATTTCCTATGTATTTTACAGAAATTGCTAAATACATTTTGGTAAATTACTATTTTGTAACATCGACCACTAAAGCATTGGCATTGTGGATCTTGGTCGTCTTCGGTGTTAGATGATGACATAAGTGATAAATTTATCCAATCATAGCTTCTCCTGCAAAATACAATGCCAATATCGTTAGATGATTATTACGCTTTTATTATTAATTTATTTCTATTACTATTAAATAAAAAAGAACGTAATAAGCAGCCTATTTCAAAATTGGACTTTTTTATAGTTGAAGACAATAAGAATTTAGATTCTAAAAATGCATGATTGCAATTGGGGATATTTCACTTGTTTTTAAGAATTTATTGTGTTTGTTCATAATTCATATGATTGAAAACTATTTAAGATCGCCTAAAACTTTGAATACAATATTTGTTGGTTTTAAGAATAAAATATGTATCAACACTTGGGGTTGGTGTCATAAAAAAATGTACTCGTTTGACTCAATGTCAAACCAATATTTCACAGAAAATTTGCAAGATACTGGTTCAACTCAAACGAGTATCTTGCAGAGAATTTGTAAGGTACCTGTTTAAATCGAAGAAAAAAACCACTAACCTATTTTAAAGTTTTAACTATATGGTAAATTATGAACTAAATAATTATTAAAAAGAAACCAGTGAAATGACAAATATGCCCTCAAGATCAAAAATATTTGTTTTAAACATTACCTTTATATGACAACCCTTTTGATGGAATTTTCACCTTTCTATGTAAAGTTAGTGAAACCATCCATCTTTCAACCAAATACTACCAATCCAACGTGCAAAACAACCAACCTAAAGACACAAAACCCCTGCAAAAAACACAAAATCCAATCAAAACCAATCCAAAAACCCGAAAACCACAAGGGCAAAACCGTCATTTCCTTACATTTTCCCCCGAAGACGAATAATCCATACGCGGAAGATACCCTTGAACACCAAGATTATAAACCGGACTACCATCCGGATAATACAATCCATAGTTCCTCTCAGAAGTTGGACCGGGTTTCATATTCTCATTGAAAAGGGCAAAAACGTAAATATCAATCTTTTGTGAAGGGTGGGCAGGTGTCCCTTGTCCCTCTTGCATTCTTTGCAACAAATTTCTATTATAAATTCCCGCATTTCCAACTGTTGCCCCTGGTTCATCATCATCACCTCTTGAAGGCCACCCAGTTTCAGAAATCCTTACTTGAACATCACTATGACCCAATGATTTCATCCCCGCATAAACCGCATCGATTTGAGCATACAACATGTTATCATATTTCAAATTCGTATTCGGATCTACAGTTCCAGAATTCGGCTCAAAAAGCAAGTATTCAATCGGAACGTTTTTCGGGTCGTTTTTGTAAGCGAAGTAAGGATACGCATTGATCAAAAATGGCGAGTTACTCTGTGCATGGAAGCTTAAAATCGGTTGAATGTATTGGACATATTCATCGCGAAATGCGCCATTTGAAGGGGGGAATGATGTTTTCAAGATTTGGAGAGAATGAGCTGTGGTGACGTAGACTTGAGAGCTTAGACCTAAGTTGACTAAAGCTTGATACATGGCTTTCATGGCGGGGAGAAGATAGAATGGTAATTGAGGATCTGAGCCTCCTAAGACTTCGTTTCCGACTGTGATACATGTGATTTTGGTTTGTGAAATGTAGGGTTGTACCTTTTGTTGAATCCAGATTTGGGCTTGTTGTGGATCTTGCATTTTTTGAAGATACTCGTTGCCTAAACCTATGATGAATTCGATGTTTGTGTTCGCGAATGCTGTTAGAACATTTGGGTCAGCATCGTATAGTTTTACTCTGCTGATGTTTAAAGATCCGAGGAGGATGGAGACTCGTGAAGGAGATGGGAGATTGTTCGCGATTTGTCCGTAATTGATTCCGACTCCGAGACTGAAAGTTCCGATGAATGATTCTGGGAGAAAAAAATTGAAGAAAGATCGATTATTTTTCATGAATTCAAACAGTTTGGAGTTCGATTATATTATAATGAAGCTAGATTCAAAAACCCTTTTGGAAAGTTGATAATTTTCCAGAAAAATGTCATTTAATTCATCGAATCTAAGGAAAAACGAAGGTTTTTACATGAACTTGTGCTTCAATGCTATGAATATTCATTGAAAGTGACAGAAGTGATTGTAATGGAATCAGATTCAAAACCCTTTTTGGAAAGATTGTTGATTGAGTGATTTCTAAAAAAACTATAAACCTTTTTGCATTCGAATTTAAGGTTTTTTGTTCAAATGTTATGAATATGCATCAAGGTGACAGAAAAATCAAAGAAAAGACGAATCTTGATGTTTGAATCTGATTCTGAAAAACATAAGTTGAAGATTTATGAACACCCAACTGAAAAAATTACAAATTTTACAAGAGATAATGCAATAAGTTTCTGATTTATGTAAAAAAAAAAAGTTCAGAAGTTTTAAAGAAATGTTGTGGAGAAAAAGGAAGAGGGATTACTTGAGAAAATGAGGAGAAGAAGTGTACAGAGTATAGCGGTCATTGGAAATGAGATTTGCAGCTTCCGCCGCTCTCAGCCGTGCTCCTCCGTCTGATGAAGTGTCTCCGGCGAAAATTGGAGGTGTAATAGGCGATTCGAATTCAATGGGGACGGTTTTATATACGCGATATACACAGTCACGCTTTGAAATTACAGCTAAATTCCTTAATGAGCTCGTGATGTGATTGCTGTGAAATTTTAATTACGTTTAATACTTCAATTAAATTAAAGAATATTAACAAAAATAACTACTATTAATGAACGATCTTAATTAATAAACATATCAAATTTATTTTGTTTTAGGAAATTTGACTATTTGGGCTAAATTAGACAAAATTTATGAAATATTAAAAATATTTTTTTTCTGAAAATATATTTTGAACTTACATTGAAATATTAAAAACATATCAATATTTTTTTCCAGCAATGTATTTTAAACTTACATTGAAATATATTTTGAACTTACATTGAAATTTACAAAATTTATGAAATATTAAAAATATATCAATATTTTTTTCAGCAATGTGATTGGTTCCTTTTTATTCTCTCATTCTGATTGGTCCATTTTATTTATTAAAAAAAATAAAAAAAATACACAAGTGTGACACCACTCCTTGGGTGTGGTATGAAACCACACTTTTGTGGTAATGGGTGAGGTGACGCCTACGTGTCATTGCGGTTTCACGCGACACCACTCCCTCCGGCCTTATAGGTAATAAGTTCAATGACTAAAAGTAGACGATTTTGGAAAGTTTAGTGTTAAAATTGAGACAAAAATAAATTGAGGCTAGAAATAAACAATTTAAAAACGTTTATCTTTTAAAATTAAACAAAAATAAGTTTATTAAATAAAAATAAAGAAATTAAATAGTTTTTTGGTTATTTTCTTTGTGTAAATTAGTTAATTGCATTTGAAAACATTTATTTTATATCTAGATATACACCTCAAAATATAATATTTTTTAAGTATTTAGTTATTATCGAAAAAGAATATTCCTTTCCGTTGTAACTTTTATTTTGGGAAAATTATATAGAAAATTACAAATTTAACTTTTAGTATGATGTATGAAATTTTATTGTTTTTGTCGTGCAACTTCTCTTTGTTGATACTTTTGATATTTTCTTTTAGTTATTTTGTTTTTTAGTTTACAAAATTTTCAAACCACGTTTGTGGTTTCTAATATCCAACGAAACCATTGGGAAGTTACCAAACATATATGTCGCTTATTTATGCACACACAAATTAAAAGACAAAATTATGATTTTTTTTTCAATTATTGCAATATCTAAAATTTTCAAGATTTTTGTAATATAAATTTAAACTTTACAGACGTGTTTGACACGAAAAGTTTGGAAGCCTATAGTTTTTAGCATTTTACAAAACGTTCCATTTTGAACAGAAAACCTCGTTAAACTTCAAGCATATAATTTAAATAAAACGCTTCAAATCCAAAAGCTACTTCACGTAGCGTTTAACAAAACGATGTCAGCTACCAGCTACCCGTCATATACTACCAGCTAGTTTTACCGAACACGCATAATTCATGTTGCTTTTATAATTTTGATATAATTTATTTTAAAGAATATATTTACTAAAAAAATAACAATCATGCGCTAAATGGTTTAAAGATTCTTATAGTGATTTATAGCTGAATAAAATGTAATTTTATATTCATAGTGGTATTTTTTTAGAACGGACATATTATATTAGAAAAACTAGCACAAGGCTAGAAAAACAAATTACATAAATAAAATGTCAAGACATGGATTTTTCCGATTTTTCATCCAACTAACCCACTTAACACAATACTTCAAATTTCTAGCATTTATTCACAAGAAAGACTGAGATCGCCTTAACAAGTTTAGTCTGACTAAATACCTATTTTATTCCGAAAGCTCCAAATCGTCCAAAACAACGCGAAACCAACAACATTCAAACAACTGAAGCAATCAATCGAGCAGAATGAAGCCAAGACAACCACTTATAAATAGAAGAGAAAACTTAAATCAATCTCCCACCACCTAGACAAAAGACCCCACAAATCTATTGCCATGTCGCAAGAAAAAAAAGATGATTAATAACCTCAACATTCGAATCACATATAGGGCACAAAATGGAGTCAAGATGTATACCTCTCCTGTCCAGATTAGGTGAAAAGTTTATTCAAAGCCAACCTTGAGAAAAAAAACATTAAGTTTAATAGGCACCATACGATTCCTTTTAGTCGGGACTGTCCTAACCTCCAAAATTTTAGAGTCGATAATGAACTGAGCCGAAGCAACAAAGGAACCATAAGATGCATTAGGAGACCAAAGCCAACTATATTGCTCTGACACAGGAAAGACTTAATCAATACGATTTCTCAAATTAAAGTATCGCTACAATTCCTCATTTCCTCCTGGAGGTCTTCTAAAAGCCGAGAACCAATGAAGTTGGGTTAGACGAGACAAAACTTTGCATTTCTTGTCATCATCTAAAGCATACACCCTAGGAAAAAGGGATTTTAAGGATCGGTCCCCGTACCACACATCACCCCAAAAGTGTAACACTCCGAATTTAGAAGGTCAAGAAAGGAAGGGAAAACCCCCAAGTCAAGAGGTCTACTCGTCGAGTCCAGGGAGGAACACGACGAGTAGGAGCAAGTTCCGTGTCGCGGATTAAGTGGCCGACTAGGCGAGTCGCGGGACTGACTCGGCGAGTCTGGCCTGGGTTGGGAAACCCTAAATTCAGGACTTGGCACCCTATTTAAGCATCTTATTCTCCTCCTCTTGGTACCATTCCCAACCCCTATTGTCCAGAACTTAACCCACGAAACCCTAGATCATTTGGTGAGTGTATGAGCCATTCTTGAGTATTTTGGTGTTCTTGGAGGCTAGAAGAAGAATAAGGAGATTGAAGGTTCAGGGAGGAACTTGTAGATCCAGAAACACCATCTCATTTCCATCATTTTCTGGTAATCAAGTCTTCATCTTGACTTATAGCTTCTTAGATCTATTTATGTCCACTTTATGAGAGTTTTGGTCCATGGAGCTTGATCTATGGGACAAAGATGTCCCAAGCAAAGATCCTTTCAGATCTGGGGTCCCTAAGAGTGGTTAAGGCATAAAGGTGCAAACTTTATGCCATTAGAACTCCCCATGCAAGGTTTAAGAGGTTGTTATGGACTTTTGAGCAAAAAGGTCATGCATGGATGTAAAGCCAGAGGCTTTACGTATTATTTCGACCCTAGAAGGTTATATCTGGGTCCTGGATGCTTTGAGACCCTTAGAAATCGTCTGGATAGATTGGGACATAAAGGGACCCGGCGAGTCACTAGTGGGACTCGGCGAGTCAGACTGTTTTAGTGCCCCAAAACCCATCTGTTAATGGTATGAGTTGAGTTGGTAAGGGACTCAACCAGTCTGGGTCCATTGTGGACATGAAGATCATCGTACTCGACGAGTTCAAGGAGGAACTCGGTGAGTCCAAGGCAATCTCCCTAATTTATGAAGGTGGACTCGACAAGTTCAAGGGAGAACTCGGCGAGTCAGATGAAGGAAGGTCCCGATGTGTTGAGGTGGACTCGGCGAGCTCAAAGGAGAACTCGGCGAGTCAGATGAAGGAGCGACTGATGTGTTGAAGGTGTACTCGACGAGTTCACGGAGAACTCGACGAGTGGGACCGAAGTCCAGAATTTTGTGTGGAATGTGGGACTCGACGAGTTGGTAGGCCAACTCGGCGAGTTGAAGTCAACTCGGAGCGTTGACTTTGACCAAGTTTGACCTGGGTTGACTTTTGGAATATTGTGGTCTAAATGATATTTTGCGTATTGATAGTTCGGGAAGCCGAAGGGTCAGCAGTTCAGGAGTTGCCGGTTAACAGTCAGAAGTGTTCAGTTAGTCTTCAGCAGTGCGAGGTGAGTCTCCTCACTGGTTGTATGGGTCTACGGCCACAATGTCGGCCCAATTAGTTTATGTATAGTAGGAAGACCCGGGGGTTAGCCCTAGGCATTATGTACGAAAGACCAGGAGGCGGCTCCTGGCACACTGCATGATATTATGTATAATAGGAAAGACCAGGAGGTGGATCCTGGCACACTGTATGCTATTATGAATGAAAGACCAGGAGGTGGCTCCTGGCACACTGTATGCTGATTAGCCTAGTAGAGTAGTATGTTTGCTAGTTATCTTTGTGATGCTTGCATGGAAGACCAGGGGGTGTCCCTTGGCACTTGTCTGTAAGACCCCGGGAGTGGCCCCAGGATTGACAAGAAAGTCCACGTGGCGGCCCGTGGCATAACAGTAAGACTATGTGCGACACATAGCACTTTATTTGATATACAATTGGTATGTAGGGCTCACAGTATGAATGGTATGTATGGCTCGCAATATGTATGGCATGTATGGCCCAGTTGACATGTATGGTATGTGGTATTTGGGGAACTCACTAAGCTTCGTGCTTACGGTTTACAGTTTTGGTTTCAGGTACCTTCAGTTTTCAGAAAAGGAGCTCGGGACGATCGTATTGCAATCACCCATATTATTCCGCACTATGTGATCTTTGGGATTACACTCTGATATTATATTAAATGAAACGTTTTCAATGTTCAGAACAAGGTTGTTAAGTGTTTTCTGTTATATAAAAATGAAATTTTTGGTCATGATTTTTGAGATGTTACAAAAAGGAAAAAGAAGACACATCCCCAACCTTTCGTACACAAAGAAAGAAGATCAACACCTTTAGCACAAAGATTTATGGATTCTTTAAGAATAGTAGTCAAAGGACTAAAAGCACATCTAGAACCATCACACTGTCAATATGTAACGCCCGCAAATTCGGGCTAGATATAATAATAATTATACATTTCACCGAACAGTTAAAATCATTGATTAGAATAATTATTCTTCATATGTGTTACGAGCTAATAATTATATATCGTATACACAGTAAGTGGAAAAAATATTAGGATTATATAATATTTGTAGAAAACCTTAAAATAAAATTTATCGTTTAAGCGATAAAATAAATATTAAAAATAAAAGATTATTTAGGATAAATAATCTCAACAAAAGTTTTAGTAGACATAATGAGAATTTCGTGGA